AATTAAAAAATTAAAAGTAAACACATTTCTAAAGGAATTTATCTGATGGTTTTCAAATAAAAAAACCTTTCATTTTTAAATAATAGCCTGGCATTAAATCCATTTTTCCCTGATGATAAAGAGCTGTAACGTTGCTGACGCATTTTTTGTGTAACTATGGTGAAAATGTTTTGTTGTGCCATGAAATAAATAATTTTTGGGATGTTTTAGGATTCATTTGACATTTTGCTGGTGGAAATACACCAAAATTTAATTTAAAAAATTAAAGAGTAAACCCATTTCTAAAGGAATTTATCTGATGGTTTTCAAATAAAAAACCTTTCATTTTTAAATAATAGCCTGGCATTAAATCCATTTTCCCCTGATGATAGAGCTGTAATGTTCCTGAAGCATTTTTTATATAACTATGGTGAAAATGTTTTGTTGTGCCATGAAATAAATAATTTTTGGGATGTTTTAGGATTCATTTGACAATTTGCTGGTGGAAATGTCAAATTAATCCTAAACTAAACTTTAGCCCATAATTAAAAAATTAAAGAGTAAACACATTTCTAAAGGAATTTATCTGATGGTTTTCAAATAAAAAACCTTTCATTTTTAAATAATAGCCTGGCATTAAATCCATTTTTCCCTCATGATAAAGAGCTGCAATGTTCCTGAAGCATTTTTTATATANAAAAATGGGAATATTTGGAGGGAAATTCCTCTGGAAAATTGGGAATATTTGGAAGGAAAATGGGAATATTTGGAGGAAAAATGGGAATATTTGGAAGGAATTCTTGAGGAAAAACAGGAATATTTGGAGGGAAATTCCCTTGGAAAATGGGAATAATTTGGAGGAAAATTCCCTTGGAAAAATGGGAATATTTGGAGCAAAAATGGGAATATTTGGAGGGAAATTCTTTGGGAAAATTGGGAATTTTTGGAGGATATTCCTTTGGAAATTGGGAATATTTTCAGGAATTCCCTGGCAATTGGCTCCTCACCAGAAGGTGTCCACGAAGGACGTGCTCTCCCTGGTGAACAGCGCACACCAGAATATTCGGATTTTGATCACGTTACAAATTTCCCGCAGTTTCTCCACGGGGAGGCTGCACCAAACCTCGCAGGGATCCACTCCTGCAGGGAAATGGGAATTCCAAAGGGAAAAAATCACTAAAATCCATCTTGATTTCAGGTGTTATAAATATGAAAAGAAATAGAAATAAAATAAATAAATATAATCATTAAATAAATATCATATAATTCAATATATCGGTATATAAATAGCAATAAATATTAATTAAGGATGAATTCAGGCATTATAAATACCAAATAAATACCATTAAATATTAAAAAAAAATACTGGTAAATATATTTAATAGTATTAAATATATTGGTATATAAATACCAATAAATATTAAATTAAAGGATGAATTCAGGCATTCCAAAGCGCCAATGAATATTAAAATCAGTCATTATTCCAGGCATTATAAATACCAAAAAAACCCAATAAATATTTAAATAAATAAATAAATTGAAATAATTGATAAATATATACAATAGAATTAAATATATTGGTATATAAATACCAATAAATATTAAAATAAAGGACGAATTCAGGCATTCCAAAGTGCCAAAAAACAATAAAACCAATGATTATTTCAGGCATTATAAATACCAAATAAATACCAATAAATATGAAAATAAATAAATAAATAAATAAAATAATTAATAAATGTATTTAATAGAATGAAATGTATTGGTATATAAGTACCAATAAATATTAAAATGAAGGGTGAATTCAGGCATTATAAATACCAAAGAAATACCAGTAAATATTAAAAATAAATAAATAAAATAATGAATAAATATATTTAATAGAATTAAATACATTGGTATATAAATACCAATAAATAACAAAATAAAGGATGAATTCAGGCATTCCAAAGTGCCAATAAATATTGAAATCAATCTTTATTTTAGGTGTTTTAAATACCAGTAAATATGAAAAGAAATAGAAATAAAATAAATATAATAATCATTAAATTAATATAATATAATTCAATATATCGGTATATAAATAGCAATAAATATTAAATTAAAGGATGAATTCAGGCATTCCAAAGTGTCAATAAATATTAAAATAAATCATTACTTCAGGCATTTAAATGTACCAAAAAATAATAAAATAAATCATTATTTTAATGTTTTAATGGTTAAAATCACTCATTATTTCAGGAATTGCAAAGTACCAATAAATATTAAAATCAATCATTATTTTAGGCATTATAAATACCAAAAAAAACCCAATAAATAAATAAATAAATAAATAAATAAATAAAATAATAATAAATATATTTAATAGAATTAAATATATTAGTATATAAATACCAATAAATATTAAAATAAAGGATAAATTCAGACATTCCAAAGGGCCAATAAATATTGAAATCAGTCTTTATTCCAGGCATTATAAATACCAATAAATATGAAAATAATAATCAATAAAATAAATATAATAATCATTAAATAAATATAATATTAATTAAATATATCAGTATATAAATAGCAATAAATATTAAATTAAAGGATGAATTCAGACATTCCAAAGTGCCAATAAATATTAAAATCAGTCATTATTCCAGGCATTATAAATACCAAAAAAACCCAATAAATATTTAAATAAATAAATAAATAAATAAATTGAAATAATTGATAAATATATACAATAGAATTAAATATATTGGTATATAAATACCAATAAATATTAAAATAAAGGGTGAATTCAGGCATTCCAAAGTGCCAATAAATATTGAAATCAGTCTTTATTTCAGGCATTATAAATACCAGTAAATAAGAAAATAAATAGAAATAAAATAAATAAATATAATCATTAAATATATGGGATAAAATTAAATAGAATGGTACATAAATGCCAATAAGTAATAAATTAAAGAATGAATTCAGGCATTCCAAAGTGCCAGAAAAGACAAGGCAGAGAAAAGGCAGGAAGAAGAGAGGGGAAAAGGAAAAAGGGAGAAAGGCAGGGAAAGGCAAGGCAGGGAAAAGATACAGAAAAGGGCAGGGAAAAAAGGAAAATTACAAGACAAGGGAAAAGGCAGGAAAGGCAGGAAAAAGAGAGGGGAAAGACAAGGGAAATGGAAAAAGAGAGGGGGAAAAGGAAATGGGAAAAGCCATGGAAAAGGCAGGGAAAAAGGGAAAAGGGAAAAGACAAGGCAGGAAAAAGACAAGATGGGAAAAGAGAGGGGAAAGAGAAGAAAAAGAGAGGGGAAAAGAGAGGGGAAAAACAGGAAAAAAGAAGGCAGAGAAAAAGACAGGGAAAAGACAAGAAAGGGAAAATACAGGGGGAAATACAGCAGAAAAGGCAGGGAAAAGTCAGGAAAAAGACAGGGAAAAGACAAGGGAAAAGACAAGGGAAAAGATAAGACAGGGAAAATACAGGGGAAGGACAAGGAAAAATGAAGAGAAAAAAAGGGAAAAAAAGGGAAAAAGAAGGGAAAAGAAGGGAAAAAAGAAGGGAAAAAAGAAGGGAAAAAAGAAGGGAAAAAAGAAGGGAAAAAAGAAGGGAAAAAAGAAGGGAAAAAAGAAGGGAAAAAGAAAGGAAAAAAAGGGGAAAAAAAGGGGGAAAAAAGGGAAAAAGAAGGGGAAAGGAAGGGAAAAAAAAGGGAAAAAAAGGGAAAAAAAAGGGGGAAAAAGGGGGNCCAGATACCCGGATTCCCAAAGATTCCAAACTCCCGATTCTGAAATATTCCAAAGATTCCAAACTCCCAAAGATCCCAAAGATTCCAAACTCCCGAATCCCCCAGATTCCCAAATATTCCAAAGATTCCAAACTCCCAAAGATCCCAAAGATTCCAAACTCCCGAATCCCCCAGATTCCCAAATAATCCAAAGATTCCAAAATCCCAAAGATTCCCAAGACTCCAAACTCCAAAATCCCCAAAGATTCCAAATTCCAGATCCCCAAAGATTCCGGAGATTCCAAAATCCCAAACATCAAATCCAAACTCCCAAAGGTCCCAAACTCCAGAATTCCAAAGATTCCAAACTCCAGAAGAATCCAGATACCCGGATTCCCAAAGAATCCAAACTCCCAAAATCTCCAAAGGCTCCAAACTCCAGATTCCAAAATATACAAAGATTCCAAACTCCCAAAGATTCCCAAAGATTCCAAACTCCAGAATCCCCAAAGGTCCTAAATTCCAAAATCCCCAAGATTCCCAAACTGCAGAATCCCAAGGATTTCAAATTCCCAAATTCCCAAAGATTCCAAACTCCAGAATCCCAAAGATTCCAAATTCCAGATCCCCAAAGATTCCAGAGATTCAAAAATCCCAAACATTCCAAACTCCAAAATCCCAAATATCAAATCCAAACTCCCAAAGGTCCCAAACTCCATAATGCCAAAGATTCCAAATTTCAGATTCCCCAAGATTCCAAACTCTAGAATCCCCAAAGATTCCAAAATCCCAAAGATTCCAAACTCCAAAAGAATCCAGATACCCGGATTCCTAAAGATCCAAACTCCCAAAATCTCCAAAGGTTCCAAACTCCAGATTCTGAAATATTCCAAAGATTCCCAACTCCCAAAGATTCCAAACTCCCAAATCCCCCAGATTCCCAACTCAAGATTCCCAAATAATCCAAAGATTCCAAACTCCCAAAGATTCCCAAGATTCCAAACTCTAAAATCCCAAACATTCCAAACTTCAAAATCCCAAAGATTCCAAACTCCAAAATCCCAAACATTCCACACTCCAAAATCCCAAACATCAAATCCAAAGTCCCCAAGATTCCAAACTCCAAACCCCCAAAGGTCCCAAACTCCAGAATCCCAAAGATTCCAAAGATTCCAAAATCCCAAAGGTTCCAAACTCCAAAAGAATCCAGATACCCAAATTCTCCAAAGTTTCCAAACTTCAGAATCCCCCAGATTCCAAACTCCAGATTCCAAAATATTCCAAAGATTCCCAACTCCCAAATCCCCCAGATTCCCAACTCCAGATTCCCAAATAATCCAAAGATTCCAAACTCCCAAAATCCCCAACACTCCAAATCCCAAAGATTTCAACCTCCCCAAAGATTCCATACTACAAAATCCCAAAGACTCCAAACTTCAGATTTCCAAAGATTCCCAAACTCCACAATCCCAAAGATTCCAAAGATTCCCAGACTCCCAAAGATCCCAAACTCCAGAATCCCCAAAGATTCCAAAATCCCAAACATTCCACACTCCAAAATCCAAACATCAAATCCAAAATCCCAAAGATTCCCAAACTCCAGAATCCTCAGAGATTCCAAACTTCAGATTCCCAAAGATTCCAAACTCCAAAAGAATCCAAAGATTCCCAGATTCCTGAAGAATCCAAACTCCAAAATCTCCAAAGACTCCAAACTCCCAAAGATTCCAAAGTCTCAAAGATTCCGAACTCCAGAATCCTAAAGATTCCAAAATCCCAAAGGTTCCAAATTTCAAAATCCCAAACATTNCTTTGGGAAAAATGGGAATATTTGGAGGAAAAATGGGAATACTTGGAGGGAATTCCCTTGGAAAAATGGGAATATTTGGAAGGAAATTCCCTTGAAAAATGGGAATATTTGGATGAAAATTCCTTTGGAAAATGGGAATATTTGGAGGAAAATTCTTTTGGAAATTGGGAATATTTGGAGGGAAATTCTTTTGGAAATTGGGAATATTTGGAGGAAAAATGGGAATATTTGGAGGAAATTCCCTTGGATAAGTGGGAATATTTGGAGGAAAATTCTTTTGGAAAAATGGGAATATTTGGATGAAAATTCTTTTGGAAATTGGGAATATTTGGAGGGAAATTCCTTTGGAAAAGTGGGAGGACTTGAAAGGAAATTCCATTGGAAAAAGGGAATATTTGGAGGGAAAATGGGAATATTTGGAGGAATTGCCCTTGGAAAAGTGGGAGGATTTGGAGGAAAATTCCCATGGAAAAGTGGGAATATTTGGAANGTGGTGCAGAAAATGTAATTTTTAATTTGAGCCATCTGTTTTTCTGCAACCGGGAATTTTTGCTGAATTTTACTGCAAAAAAACCCCAAAAAATGGAAATTGTTTTTAGACCTACACAGGTAAAACCAACAGCCTTGAATTTCCACCCTCACAGCATTTATGGAAATATTCCTGAATATTTCATTTATATCAGGAGAAACAGATGAGAATTGTTCCAAGGTAACAGAATAGAACAATGCTAAAAAATAATAATTAACTCATTTTCAGGAAAAATAAAATTAAATAGCAATCCAAAGATCCAAGAAATGAAGAATATTGGTTTTGTTTCCATACCTGTTTTAGGTTTACACGGCACTGTCTGTCCAAAGGTTCCATGATCCTAAAGATAAACACATTATTGACATTTTTTAATGTAATATATTTCTATATTTACCATTTATTACATTGCACAGCCAATAGCAAACAAAGAAAGCCAAGCCAGGAATAAAGAAAGCATTTTGTTTGGAGGAAAAAAAAGAATATTTATCTGCATCCTCATTAAAAAATGGCCACAGGTTAATGAACGGACAGGAAAAGTTTTACACAATTAAAACAATTAAAACAATATTTTCAATCACACTAGGAGAGGATTCTAGGAATTCATGATTCAAAAAATCAGGCAGCAAAATCAAGTTCAAGAGAATCTGACTAAAATTAAAATATTATTAATATTATTAAACTCAAAGTTTTAAGAAGGTGACACAGGTTTTTTAAAAAAAAAATCCAAAATAATAATTACACTTTGACAGTGAATGTGTATTTAAATAAAACCATCTACAGCAAAATAAAGGGAGTTGATTTCGTTTTTCATGTTACTTTTAAGGGGTTTAAACCCCATCTGAGCACCTGAGGCTGAAGAAATAATTTATTCTGATTTATATTTACAAACTCTGTAATTTTAGCAAACATCACAAATGAGTGATTTAATGAACGCTCTGTATCACAGGAAATGCTGCATTATCATTTCACAGAAATGCAGAAATTATCAAATTCCTGGATTTAACAGGCCGGGATACACAAGAACAAAGAGGAGAAAAACCTAAATTGTGATTTAAAAATCAGCTCATCTTGAAAGACAACTGAGAGCTCTTAAAGAGTTTTATTTTGGCAGCAGCAAAAACCCAAAAAATCCTTCAGTGGTGGAAATAAATTCTGAATGGAATCACAGGCATTAAAAACTCACATCACACCCCTCAGAGGAGGAAGGAGACAAATAATAATAATTAAAAGAGCTGAGATATCAGGAAATAAAAGTTGAATTCCCACAGAGCAAGAGCTGAAACCCCAGGAAATAAAAGCTGAAATCCCACAAGGGAAGAGCTGAAATCCCACAGGAACCAATTGGTGAAATTCCACAAGCCCAAGAGCTCAAATCCCAGAAATCCAGAGCTGAAATCCCAGGAACCCACAGCTCAAATCCCAGGAATCCAAAGGTGAAATCCCAGGAACCAAAAGTTGAAACCCCACAAACTCAGAGCTGAAATCCCACAGGCCAAGGGCTGAAATCCCACAAGAAACTGGAATTCCACAGGTCAAGAGCTGAACCAGGGGCCAAAAGCTGAAATCCCAGGAAACCAGAGCTGAAATCCCACAGGCCAAGAACTGAAATCCCACAGGAACCAATTGGTGAAATCCCACAAGCCCAAGAGCTAAAATCCCAGAAATCCCGAGCTGAAAGCCCAGGAAGCCAGAGCTGAAATCCCAAAAGGGAAGAGCTGAAATCCCACAGGAGCCAAGAGCTCAAATCCCAGGAACCCAGCGCTGAAATCCCACAGGCCAAGAGCTGAAATCCCACAAGAAACTGGAATTCCACAGGCCAAGAGCTGAAATCGCAGGAAACCAGAGCTGAAATCCCAGGAAACCAGAGCTGAAATCCTACAGGCCAAGAACTGAAATCCCACAGGCCAAGAACTGAAATCCCATAGGAACCAACTGGTGAAATTCCACAAGATCAAGAGCTAAAATCCCAGAAATCCAGAGCTGAAATCCCAGAAAGCCAGAGCTGAAATCCCAAAAGGGAAGAGCTGAAATCCCAAAGGCCAAGAGATGAAATCCCAGGAACCAAGTGCTGAAATCCCACAGGGCAAGAGCTGAAATCCCAGGAACCCACAGCTCAAATCCCAGGAATCCAAAGGTGAAATCCCAGGAACTAAAAACTGAAATCCCAAGAACCAAAAGCTGAAACCCCAGGTACTCAGAGCTGAAATCCTACAGGCCAAGAGCTGAAATCCCACAGGAACCAACTGGTGAAATCCCACAAGCCCAAGAGCTAAAAGCCCAGGAAGACAGAGCTGAAATCCCACAGGGCAAGAGCTGAAATCCCACAGGAGCCAAGAGCTGAAATCCTAGGAACCCAGCGCTGAAATCCTGCAGGCCAAGAGCTCAAATCCCACAGGCCAAGAGCTGAAATCCCACAAGAAACTGGAATTCCACAGGTCAAGAGCTGAAATCCCAAAGACCAAGAGCTGAAATTCCACAAGTCCAAGAGCTGAAATCCCAGGAACCAAGAGCTGAAATCCCACAGGGCAAGAGCTGAAATTCCAGGGCCCAGAGGTGAAATCCCAGAAAACCAGAGCTGAAATCCCAGGAGCCAAGTGCTGAAATCCCACAGGGGAAGAGCGGAAATCCCAGGAACCCACAGCTCAAATCCCAGGAATCCAAAGGTGAAATCCCAGGAACTCAAGAGCTCAAATCCCACAGGCCAAGAGCTGAAATTCCACAGGGCAAGAGCAGAAGTCCCAGGAACCAAGAGCTGAAATCCCAGGAAATCAGAGATGAAATCCCAGAACAGAAATTCCAGGAAATAAAAGCTGAAATCCCAGGAAATAAAAGCTGAAATCCCACAGGCCAAGAGCTGAAATTCCACAGGCCAAGAGCTGAAATCCCAGGAGCCCACAGCTCAAATTCCAGGAATCCAAAGGTGAAATCCCAGGAACCCAGAGCTGAAATCCTACAGGCCAAGAGCTGAGATCCCACAAGAAACTCGAATTCCACAGGCCAAGAGCTGAAATCCCACAAGGCAAGAGCAGAAGTCCCAGGAGCCAAGAGCTGAAATCCCAGAACTGAAATCCCAGGAGCCCAGAGCTGAAATCCCAAGAACCAAGAGCTGAAATCCCAGTGCCCCAGAGCTGAAATCCCAGGAATCCAGAGCTGAAATCCTACAGGCCAAGAGCTGAAATCCCAAGAACCAAGAGCTGAAATCCCAGGAGCCCACAGCTCAAATCCCAGGAACCCAGAGCTGAAATCCCAGGAACCCAGTGCTGAAATCCTACAGGCCGAGAGCTGAAATCCCAGAGGCCAAGAGGTGAATTTCCAGGAAATCAGAGCTGAAATCCCACAGGGCAAGAGCTGAAATCCTACAAGAAACTGAAATCCCACAGGCCAAGAGCTAAAATTCCCGGAACCCAGAGCTAAAATCCCAGAGGCAAAGAGCTCAAATCCGGGAATCAGGAGCTGAAATCCTACAGGCTATGAGCTGAAATCCCAGGAAATAAAAGCTGAAATCCCAGGAATCCAGAGCTGAAATCCCAGTGCCCCAGAACTGAAATCCCAGTGTGTCCCAGAGCTGAAATCTGACATTCCAGGGATCCAGGTGCAGCCCCTGCTCTGCGCCAGGGCCAGATTTGGGTAAAACCCCCCTGGCACATCCTGCAAGTTCCCTGTCACTACAGGACACAAAATAACACGCTGCTCTTTTCAAGGTAAAAAAGCACTTTTTCATTTCTGCCTCCAACATTTATAGATTTCCAAAAGTGGCAGTGGATTGGGGGGTGACAGTGCCACCTCTGCAATGACACTGGACAAACCAACAGCCCAGCAAATCTCTCCTCCTCCAGAAAAGAATGCAAAACAATTAATTATTTACATAAAGCGCGTGAGAAAGGTCCTCACAAGAACATAAACATCAGAAGGCTTAGAAAAACTTTAAAAAATCAGGGTTACAGCTTCCCACGGAGCTCCAACCCCACTTACCAGCTGAAAGTAGGTTGGGTCACCAGCAAAGAGAGCCAAGGCTGCAACGAGGTCGGATTTGGAGAGAGGATCAGCCATGGCACATCACCCTGAGAGAAACACAGGGTGAGAAACACCACAAACACAAACACTGGGAATGCCAACACTTCCAAGGATCTCACTGCTAAACTTCACTGGGCTGGGTCTGGAAAACCGAGCAGCACTTGGGCAGAGCTCAATGCTGAGCACAGCCAGCCTAAGCCCGGCTGGAAGCCTGGGACAGAGACCGACTGTGACCTGCACCGGACAGGAGATGGGCACGTTATCCCTGCCGGGACGAGGAGCAGCATCCCGGGAATCGCGGCTGCACCCCAGGAACTGCAGCTGCACCCCGGGAACCGCGGCTCCATGCCCACGATCACGGCTACAATCCCGGGAATTGNGGAAATTCTTTGGAAATTGGGAATATTTGGAAAGAAATTCTTGGGAAAATGGGAATATTTGGAGGAAAAATGGGAATATTTGGAGGGAAATTCTTTGGGAAAAATGGGAATATTTAGATGGAGATTCTTTTGGAAAATGGGAATATTTGGAGGGAAACTCCCTTGGATAAATGGGAATACTTGGAGGGAAATTCCCTTGGAAATTGGGAATATTTGGAAGGAATTCTTGAGGAAAAATGGGAACATTTGGAGGGAAATTCCTTTGGAAAATGGAAATATTTGGAGGGAAATTCTTTGGGAAAATGGGAATATTTGGAGGGAAATTCTTTGGAAAATGGGAATATTTGGAAAGAAATTCTTTGGGAAAATGGGAATATTTGGAGGAAAAATGGGAATATTTGGAAGGAAATTCCTATGGAAAATGGGAATATTTGGAGGGAAATTCTTTGGAAAATTGGGAATTTTTGGAGGGAAATTCTTTGGGAAAAATGGGAATATTTGGAGGAAAATTCCTTTGGAAAAGTGGGAATATTTGGAGGAAAAATGGGAATATTTGGAAGGAAATTCCTTGGGAAATGGGAATTTTTGGAGGGAAATTCTTTGGAAAATTGGGAATATTTGGAAGGAAATTCCTATGGAAAATGGGAATATTTGGAGGAAAATGGGAATATTTGGAGGAAATTCTTTGGGAAAATTTGGAATATTTGGAGGGAAATTCCCTTGGAAAAGTGGGAATATTTGGAGGGAAATTCTTTGGGAAAATGGGAATATTTGGAGGGAAATTCTTTTGGAAAATTGGGAATATTTGGAGGAAATTCTTTTGGAAAATGGGAATATTTGGAAGGAATTCTTGAGGAAAAATGGGAATATTTGGAGGGAAATTCTTTGGAAAATGGGAATATTTGGAGGGAAATTCTTTGGAAAAATGGGAATATTTGGAAGGAATTCTTGAGGAAAAATGGGAA